ACCTTTGCTACTTCCCACTGGTGTAACTAGCCATCTAGAGAACTGTTTCATTAACTGCGCTTAGCTGAGATTCATTGATCAATCAGTAGGCCAGAAGTTTTTTTTCTACGAGTTCTCCTGTTTCGATTCTTCAAATCGCACACTTTCCTTTTTGCAGAATTCCCCATTCCTCCAGTGTCACAAGGTACGCTATATCCCGCAGATAGGGTGGGCGTGCCCGCGTGCTTCATTTGAACGTCGCACGGCCGGCTTCGCTTCCACTGGGGCACTTTGGTTTCAGGGCAAAGCTGGTCATGTTTTTCTCCAGCAGAAGACTGTAGTACGGCCGTACCAATAGCACGCCCTCTCTATCTCCGAGTTACGAATATGAACTCCTGCTCAGCTATAATGGAAGATCGCTATAAAGCAAGCTCTTAGCGAACGTTTTCGTTTTCCACCAATTTGAAAAGCTCCTGGTGTTGCGAGCACTTTTCCAGAACATAGATGTGAACCTTTCGGTCAGTAAAAAATTATGCTCGAGTGTCATGGCGAATTCGCGCCATGCATCTCCAGCTTTTCGATGAGTTAACTGATGACTACTTCATCGTGTACTGATTTAGAAGCTGCGATTGGCAGTCGGTACAATGGGACTAAATGTATATATGGACGTGCTTGGAAAAAGAACGATCAAATCAAGAGCTCCTTGCTATTACATTGGAGATCCTTGTAGCAGTTCTCAGCAGTGACGACGAGAGCACAGACGATGACGAACTTGGTGAACGCTTAGCTGAGGTTAACTTTCACTGTTCGTTACTGTTACTCCTCTCATTATTGTATTCTTTCTCAATAAATTCTTCTAGGTTATGCTGAAGAAACCGGTTTTCATCCCGTCGCTCTTAGCTGCCGTTGATGATTATGATATAACTGTTCGCCGGTGTGTTTTCATTTTTGTTTCTCTTCATTGCGGAAGATCTAAGTTTTTTTTTGTAATCATACTGAAATTTTCGAATCTTGGATTATGTTCGTGCTTTTTATTGGGCTGGAAAGTCCTTTCACTTCTCATGATGCCAATGTAAACAATGGCAGCTGGTTTTGATTGTGCCTCATACTATCTGGTTACTTTTTGCTTGATTATCTGCAACATTTCAATCTTAAGCTAATCTATTTTGATGGAAGGGTGCTCAAAGACGCGCTCAGCATTCATTCGATGCTCATATGCTTTCCTGGGAAATGGTAGTCTTGTACGCAAGCATGAAGGATGTAATACTTTGGCAGCTCAAATTACTTGAGGGAGTGCTGCCCGCTAGTGCCGAGACTACTATCCCGCCCACTGGCCACATGGCAGCGCCCATTTTATAGCTACAAGATCCCTGGTGGTGCGGTTGATCCGCAAGCCGTTTTTCCGTTTCGAACGATGGAAGTGAGGTGATTGATAAGGAGAAGAAGCTGGCACCATCAAGTGAGTCTTTGACCGCGCCATTCTTCATCTTATGCACACTACAAAGCGCGGCTTCAGCAGGGGGGGGGGCGGCGGGGCACTTGCGGCAGGTTCTTTCTGCTTTTTTTATTCTTTATTGCGTTACACCTGTCATTACTATTTGAGCTGCACAATCCACCATTAACCTACGCGGGGCGTGCATTCGAAGAACTTGGGCAAAAATGGGACTGCATCATCCAGCGAAAAGTACCTACTTTCATATCGGCTTGCCATCCCCGGAGCACATCGCTACGTTCACGTTCCGGTATTTCGGGCGTTCGTTCTTGGGTAGAAGTTCCTGTTCACACTACACGAATGCCATTTGTGCACAAGGCTCCTCCAAAGATCTTCCACCTAAGTTATTGAAACTTTTCGTTTTTCTCCTAATATGTGGGATTGTGTATTCTTTGCCGTTTTATCCAAGTCGCTACTTTACGCTATTCCCCCAATGTATGAAAGGTTTCCCTGTTGTGTGAACTCCTTCCATTAGGGCATAAGTTGTGCCGCGGGTTATCGAACTTGAATGGGGGGACCAAAATACACATTTCGGATGATATGATGCACCGATCGTATTATTTTCATAGTTTTGATAAACGTTCAGTGTTTCAGAGTAGGAATACAATTACTAACATCACTGCTTCGTCATCGTGGTCCAGAAGTACAGGCAGCAGTGATGGCCCAACCTACAGGTGTTCCTCACCTCGTGGATATTGTTCACGACCGACGCGAAGTAGTTCGAAATGAAGCCGTTTTGATGCTATGTGAGCTAAGCAGATCGAATTCGCAGGTAAGGAGATCTTACTGTTCATAACCCAAGTTGATATCAAGCTTGTCTTTACAGATTCAACAGTTACTAGCGTATGAAAATGCTTTTGTTCATTTGTTGGATATCATCGATACGGAACCGCTCGACAGTTAGTCATTTGCTATGTTTACGTTTCTTAACACCTCCAGATTAGCTCCTTTTTTGCTTTCTATAACTTCAAACGTGCTGTTTTTGCAGGTATTATTATCGAAGATTGT